GAGTCTCAGGAAATAGGCCAATTCTTTTTTTTCCCCTGTAACTCCTTCTGGGACGTTTTAGCAATGAGTCAGGTTCCTCCAGCCCTGTCTCTGATACAGATGTGTAATACACAGTGGCTCACCTCTTGCACCCAGAGCATCTCAGAAGAAAACCATTCTCTTCTTCAGGCAGCTAGGCATCAAGGCGGTGACATTCACCATGTCTACTGCAGATTCTGAGGTATCTTCAATGCACGATGGAATTGGAGAACCCACAGGTTCCAACAGGCTTTCTGACTGTTTGGAGGGCACATTTTGCTGCTGCACCATTTGCCAGTTTACAGCTTTCATATAGTCCACGTGCTTGTTCAGGACCATCGCACCTACCTAAACTTTATACCTCACTGGACATGACCTCACGTCAACCATGTCTCTTACCCATGCAGGGCCATTCCCATGGATCCTACACCAAACTTCGTTCCCTGATGTAAACAGACTCTCTTGCTTAGCAGAGTCTTGTGCTAACCATTGGCATTCCTGATGCTGTTTCCCCAACAATGCCCCACCCTGCCCCACCCAAAGTCCAGGAAGACTAGATTTAACCTGGCGCAGAATCTTCTCCCAATCAGCAATTCTGCTGGAGCTATCCCTGTAATTGCATGTGGGGGTGGTCCTATAATCAAATACGAACTGGGACAGTTTGGTATCAAATGAAGCTGTAGGCTGTTTCTTTAAACCTGCCTTCAAAGTTTGGGCTGTTCTTTCTGCAAGACCATTGGATGATGAATGGTATGGAGTTGTCTTTATATATCAAATACCATTCGACTTTAGGAAATACTCAAATTCCCTGCTGGTAGATAATAGCCCGTTATCTGTGACCAACAATTTCAGGAGCCTATGTATTGCAAAAGATACTCTCAGTTCTTCTATCGTCATCCTTGTGTTTGACAAATGAACTCTGTGCACGTCCAGACACTTTGAGTGGGTGTCCACAAGACTAAGAACATTAAGCCCATGAAAAGACCTGCCAGGCGACATATAACTTGAGTTGAGGGTTTATGTGGCCATTCCCACGAATGTGGGGGAGCTGCTGGTGGTAATTTTTGTCCTTGTTGGCACTCTGGGCACTGCCCCACCAACACAGCCAGGTCTGCATCCAATCCTGGCCATCAGAAAAAAACTTCTTATCTACATTTTCATTTTGGAAACCCCTGGATGACTCTGGTGGAGTTCAGCAAGAAATTCCGTCCTCTATTGTGATCTGATCTTTCTGGGTCCAAATAGGTTTCAACTGTGCTTGTGATGGCCCTTTGGTTTCTTCCATCACCACCAGCTGTTTTATTTTTGCCAGGACCGGATCTTTCTGCGTCCAAAGTCTGAAATTGTCAGCTGTGACTGGAAGTGTGCACAGAAAATTTAAAACCATTGTGGATTCTTCCAGTGGAGGTACCACCGGTGGTGTATCTGCCAGCAGGAGGTGGCTCAATGCATCTGCATTCGCAACTTGGCCTCCTGGGCCATGTTCCAACTTGTAACCATACATTCTTATTATTAGAGCCCACTGCTGAATTCAGCCTGACGCTAAGGGCAGCACTGCCTTGTCCTCTAAGTAGACCTAGCAGGGGGTTGTGGTCCATTATTAATACAGACGTAAGTTTGTAAAAGGTATTGGTAGAACTTCCTGACTCCACATATGACCGCCAAACTTTCCTTCCTGATTTGGATGTATCTACACTCTGCATTAGCGAAAGTTCTGGAATGCTTACACTATTGAGCGTTTCTCTCCATTCGACCAGCTACAAGCTAATACTACCCCGATGTTGTACAGGGAGGTATCACGTGCCAATACCAGATCTTGCCTGGGATCATATTGTGCCAATACCTTAGAGGATGATAACTGTTTCTTTACTTCCCTGAAGGCTATGGCTTGGCTACATGACCATATACAAGACTGACCCTTTAAGAGTTGATGCAAAGGTGCCAAGATGAAGGCCAGGTTATGTATGAACTTTGTCACAATTCACCAGTCCAAAGAAAGATCTAATCTCCTGTACAGACATGAGAGCTGGGGCACTTTTGATCGTCCTCACTTTATCTTCCAACGGGTATAACCAGGTAATGTAGCTCAAATAGGTCACTTGGGATGCCTGGAGCACATTTTTCCCTTCTAAGGCATACGCCTACCTGGGAGAAATGTCTAAAGACTATGTTCAAGTTCTCTAAGTGCTCTTTATTGATCTTCTGGGTTATTAGCATGTCCTCTAGATAAATGGTGACCTGACATAGATCTTGTAAACTATTCTCCATCATCTGTCAAAAAATTGCACAGGCTGACAATATCCCATGAGAGTCTCATACATTGGTAAAAAGCCTTATGGGTATTAATTGTAGCATACTTCTGGGAGTCCTCTTCTAACCCCAATTGCAAGTGCGCATGACTCATGTCCAACTTCATCTTGGACAGCACCCCCTTGCCAGCTTTTGGCCAAGGCCTGGGTTTTGCTGTGAGCTGACCTAGGAGTCCTTCTGTTCAGGATATGTCCTGACTGAGGCTGTGCAATGGCCTTCACTCAAATGGTGTTCCTCAAGCTCAAATGGGTTGGCAAGTATGTCCACTTCCATCGGAATACCCCACAACTCTCATGCACCACTTGCTGCATTTTCCAGTTGGGCTTCAGCTAGTAGGCACTCTTGCACGGTTACATCATTAATCCCACATACCAAAACACAGTCTCTCAGCATCTCATTAAAGGTTAAACCAAAGTCATATGCCTCTGTAAGTCATCTTAACCTAGTCAAAAATCCCAATACGGATTCCCCTGGTTCTTGAACTGCCGAGTAAAACTGATAGCGTCTCAGAATTAGACGCAGCTGGGGGTCATAATATTTCTTAACTAAATGTGTTAACTCTTGAAAGATTTTACTGTCTGGTGCCTCAAGAAATTTAGGCTTCAAATAACTGAAAAAGCTGCAGATTCACAAGCTGTCAAAGGGAATTACTTTTCATCCATCCCAATGTCATTTGCCTGGAAAAACAATTGCATTCTTTCCACATACTGGGCCCAGTCTTCAACAGCAGGATAGAAGAAGTCAAGCTTCCTGAATAATGGCACAATGCCAGAAATGCTTACCCCAATTCAAAGATGACTGTCACATGTGAATTTCTTCAGGAGCATGTCTTTCTCTCGTCGTCACCGAAATAACTGCACAGAGGTTGGTATCCCTCCACCCAGTCACCCTTTAGTGTGAAAAGTCCATGACACTGATCCAGCTCCCTCAGAGTCAGCTCTCAGTGTCAGGATGGTCTGATACTCCTGTTCTTATCTGTCAGCCAGGACTCCCTGACTGGATCAGATTAACAGCCCCAATCAGGGAGCTCATATTCTATAAGAAAAACCCGAAAGAACTGCAGACGCTGTAAATCAGAAACAACAACAGAAGTTGCTGGAAAAGCTCAGCAGGTCTGGCAGCGTCTGTGAAGAGAAATCAGAGTTAACATTTCAGGTCCAGTGACCCTTCCTCAGAACCGTATATTCAGAACTCATATTGACATGGTAGACCTATTTTCTTCTAAACAACCTGTTCAGGGATGTTATGACACATCACTGAGGCAGGTGCAACTTGGCCTGTAATCCGTCCTGGGAATTCTATTGTGAGTCGTGGACTGGAAAGTTTAATGCTGTTTATTTTCCTCTCTCTCTCTCTCCTCATAGATGTTGGCCTAGCATTGATTTGTCATCACAGGGCTACCCTTCCCCTTCATTCATTGTAGGCAATTCCATGGTGAGCCTGCAAAGAATGAGGGCAGAAAATTCTTCAGCCCAGCAGGGCTTCCAATGTGAAACCCAGTGAACACTATCAGAATAGTCCTCAGCAAACCTTGCATCTGCAGCCCCAATCTCCTCCCTCCCAGTTCGGTGAAGTTGATGCCATAAGAAGTCCCGTAGCTCGGCTTTAACCAACTCAGAACTTAAACCTTGGGAATGAATTAAAATTCTCAGCAATTTTACTTGTCCAAACTAATCCGCTCTTCTAAACTGGGGCGAGGAAACAGGTAGTTTAGTTGGTTTCCAAATCCTTAAATGCTCAAGTGGCTAATTTTAGTTGTACTTTGTTTTTTGAAAAAGTAATTAGCATGGCTCACAGTACCTGCTCTCGGAGGGAGATGAATGAGGCTTGCAGCGTTTTTATTTCAGTCTAACCTGCAGCAGAATCAGTTTCCATCCACACATTCGCTCTGCAATCCACTCTTGTGGCTGTTTTCAAAATGCTGCTTGTAGTGTTCACGGCAGGACTCTCACTTAAAAAATGTACATCCTTGCTAATTGATGCTGTCTCCTTGTTTCTCTGCTCAATCTCTATCTGAATGCAGCTTACACTGTCAGCGACATTATAGCACCGAGCAGCAGCCTCCGTTGAGCCTGATGGGGAAAGAGAAGGACGGTACAGTTGCCAGTGTAAACCAGTTCACCTGTTTGGAGGATGTGACGCACTATGCAAGGGTGGGACGAGTCATTTTTTCTTCCGAAAATAATTGCCCAAGGAATTTATCTTTGATAATTACTCCTATCAAAATCCCCAAGGGAGGCACCTCCCAATCTACATTGAGATGACAAGCCCCAGCCTTGCAGCTTTACTCAGAGGGAGACTCCTGTTTGGAGGTGGGTGTGCACGCAGGGGATGGTGACTTGTTCACAAAACGTGTTTCCCAGGATCAGGCGCTCCTCGAATAACATGTTGACTTTTAAGCGTAATCGAATGACTCAGAAGCTCAAAATGAAACCAAATTTCACTTCGATGGTCAATGATGGACACCCTGTGTGTGGCAAACCTTGGGCTTTCCTCAGACCTCCTGGTTTACCTGGGCTGACACTTGGCTGTGAGAAAGACAATCCAAATCTGAGCATCCCATGGCGAGGTGTTAATTCTGGCTAGTATTTATTCTTTATCCACTACCACTAAAGCAGATTGTCTGGTTAGTACCACATTCCTGTTTGTGGAAAATTATCCAGGAATCCCATTACATTTTGAGGTGCATTTTTAAGTCTACCATCAGTAAACAGCAACGTTTACAGAATCTGGTTAACACCCGTCTTCGACACGACACTAATTATTGTAAGATGAGCCAGTGCAGTGTTGTAAAATAGTCAGCTATTTAAAAGCTGCTTAAGGTAAATTTTACAACAATTGTGAGCCTGGAGCCATGATAATGATTCTAGTATGATGGTCCTTTAAACTAAGTTTGAACTCAATATAAAAGGGATTGTCAGCACTCTTGTGGCACAGTGGTACTGTTCCTACCTCTGGGGCAGAAGACCTGCATTCAAGTCCCACCTGCTGAAGAGGTGTGCCATAATTTGCCTGAACAGTTTGTTTAGCGATATCTAGAAAGTGATTGCCATCTGAATTCTCTGGTTTAGAGTCATACAGCACAGAAACAAGGCCCATTGGCCCAAATTGTCCATGCCAATGACATTTCCTAGCCTGAACCAGTCCCATTTTCCTGCATTTGGCCCATATCCCTCTAAACCATTCCTGTGTACCTTTCCAATCATACTCACCTCTACTGCTTCCTCTGGCAGCTTGTTCCATACACGCACCACCCTCCATGTGTTTTGGACACATACCCTACCCTGGGGGAAAGACTTTGGCCATTCACCTTATTTATGCCCCTCATGATTTTATAAACCTCTCTAAGTTTACTTCTCAGAGCCTCCTATGCTCCAGGGAAGAGGTCCCAACCTATTCAGCCTGTCTTTACTATTCAAACCTTCTGGTCTCAGTAACATCCTTGGAAATCTTTCTTTCACTCTTTCCAGTTTAATAACATCCTTCCTACAGCATGGCGACCAGAATTGTATGCAATTCTCCAAATGTGGCCTTACCAATGTTTGTATAGCTGTAACATGATATCCCAACTCCTGTACTCAATGTTCTGACTGATGAAGTGTGCCAAATGCCTTCTTCACCATCGTGTCCACCTGTGACGCCACTTTCAAGGAACTGTGTACCTGCACCCCTAGGTCTTTCTGTTCAACAACACTCCCCAGAGCCCTAACATTAACTGTGTAAGTCCTGCCCTGGTTTGTCTCATGTTTATCGGAATTAAACGCCATCTGCCATTCCTCAGCCCACTAGCCCAGTTGATCAAGATCTCATTGTACTCTTAAATAACCATCTTCACTGTCCACTATACTACCAATTTTGGTGTCATCTGCAAACTTATTTACCATGCCTCGTATATTCTCATCCAAATCATTTATATAAATGACGAACAACAGTGGACCCAGCACCAATCCTTAGGGCACACCACTGGTCACAAGGCCTTCAGTTTGACCGGTTTGGGTAAGAATCACATGTTCTGTATTGAAGACCAATGCCACTGATGGAGTTTTTCCATCCATTATGAACATCAGATGGTAGGACCACATGACAAAAAAGTAGCTCACCATCACCTTCTCAAGGGTAATTTGAGATGTGCATCCTATCCTGGCCTTGCCAATGAAACCCTCATCAAACGGATGCTCTCCTTAATTCCTCATGGTTACTCTCTCTCTCCAGCACCATTATATTACCTTCAATGTACTCTACACTACCTCCCTCTTCTTTCTCTCCCAATCTTCTCTGAACACTAAGATATGCAGAAATATTTTATACATTCCCATTTCTTCCCCACCAAGTTTCAGCTTATACCACATCACATTCCCAGAACCACCACTCATCAAGGTTATTGATCATGCCCTACATGTTTACATGCGTGTTGCAGCTTAGACCTCATTATATTCTCTTATTTGGAACCCCCTTAAGACCACGTGTATCTGTACGTCTACAGCACTATGATGGTGCAGTGGGTGAGAATTGCTGCAAGGCTCCATTTCTTTTGACTCATTAGTGGAACCAATGCTTCAAAGCAAGGTATTGACATCTGTTTGTGACTAGACAGATGCATCCCCAAGCTGAACAACATGTTTTTTAAAAACATTACATCAATATTCTTATCACTTTTCCCTTCCTGAATGCTTTGTTAAAAACTCTCAGATGCTCTAAAAGTACATGAAGTTAGATAACAGAGCAGCAACAAACTAATTGAGTGGAGGCAGAACACATTTCAGGGGTTCACTGACCTACTTTAAAGCAGCAACCAATCCTAACCCATATTACAGGCACTACAATCACAAGCCGACTATAGTGTCAAGTAACTGATCATTTGACAACACACCCTATTGTTGAGTTCCAGATTTTTATTATCCTTTATGTGATAATTTCCTAATTTCATTCCTCCACAGCCCCCAAATCTGATTTTAAAATTATGCCCCTTTGTTTTGGCATCTTATGTGACTATAACAGGTGAAATCTTTTCCTCATTCTCCTTCTCGACCTGTACATAGCCTTCAACAGCACCACCGTCCTCTGACAGATAGTCTCCCTTAGAGGGTGCTAATACTATTGGGAGTCAACTTGAGTATTTAATTAGTGTGGTTTGAAGCCTATTGGACTGGTTATACTGTTTTGCAACACAGTAAAAAAAAATCCACCACTGATAATAATCTCATGGTTTCCAAGATGATTCATCAAGAAAACTGTGATTGGTGTTTCGGGTGCTGTTTATTGGGTGGCTACCAATGATCTGATTGAGCATTTCAGCTGGTTGTGCCTTTTGTAATTCATAAAATCACAAGACATTCAATGACTCTTTTTTCTATCAACAAGTACTTCCAATGATTTGTAACCAAAGTTAGCTTAATACTTTGATTGTGTTAAACTTTTGTTTTACATCGAATACGTGTCAATAAATGATTCAATTCAATTTTGAGAGATGAAAGTAATTTTGAAAGGTACTGGTTAAAAGGCATCTGGGGTATGAGGCCCCATGTTAACTAAAATTATAGAAAACACTATTTCTGTTTGGTCTACGGCACAAATGTCAGGACAGTCACTTATGTTATTTTTGCACTGAATATTAACCATTTCTTCACCAGCATGTAGAAGTGAACATTAAACAGGCTCCAGTAAGAAACTCTTAAGAGTGTCAATTTCCTGTTTGTTAGGCTTAGTCTAGGAATTTCCACAGCACTGAACAGAGATTTCCCCAGGGTTACAAATGGTTGTTCAGCATATTCTGCTCATGTTATTTATTGCCACCTGAGGTGAAAGTAGAGTGATATGTCTAGGACTATTCAGAGGTGCGAGGAAGGATGTACGTGGGCAGATACGCTTGCAAAATACTGCAGATGCTGGAAATTTGGAAAGCAGAAAATGCTGCAAATACTCGGCTGGTCTGGCAGCACCTGTGGAGAAACAGAAAATTAAAGTTTGAAGAGAGTTAGAAATGTAGCAGGTTTAAATTAAATATAGTTAAAGTGGCAGGAGGCAAGGAACAAAAAGGAAAGTCTGTGTTAGGATGGAAGGCAGGAGAAATTAAAGACAAAGGGCTAATGGATATGTGAGAAAAGGTGAAAATATGACAAATCAGGAATCAACATATAGTCCAAAGGGTAATGATAAATGGCAACAGCATCTAAGAAATATGAGCCCTAAATAATTTTTTTTAGGATAACATAGAGCTCTATTGAATTGAATCATTTATTATGTGTACTCAATATAAAATACAGTGAAAAGTTTATATTGTCACCATTCTCATTAACTTGAAATAAAAGTTATCTTGATCTTAAAGACAGTCCAACTTTTCCTTCTCCTGCGCAATGGTCCCATTCCAGGCTTCACTAGCCCATTCCGTTGGATTTAGCTGGCCAACATACTTTTCCAGAAAAGCAAGTTAAACAATTTTAAGCAGTCATTGACCAAGACAAGGTAGAAATGAAGGCCATAAAGACTGCACTTCCCAGTACTGAGTTCAATATATTCCTGAACTAATATCAGGGTGTCCTATATACACTTCACCTATACGAGAGTTTGTAAAGGACTAGGAAATAACTGCAATGTGAAGTAAAACTAACCTCAAGCTCAGTGATGGACAGCAGGGAGAGGTAATCATTCTGACATATTGGGTATACATTTTCAATTAACATGTCTAAACAGGTTATGATACACCTCTGGAGCAGGTGGGATTTGAACCCAAGCCTGCTGGCTGAGAGATTTGGACACTACCACTGTGCTATAAGAGCCCCTCTGACATCTTGGGTTCTTGTCCTGTATTCATCAGTCACAAATATTCAAACAAGTGATTGATTTGGGGGGGGAATAGAAGCCCCTAGAAATAAACGATACTAATGAGTGGTCAGAGACAGGGGACAGTGCTTAGCAGGTTGCTGGATTCTTCAGGTGTAAGGTGTTTTCCAGGAAGATGGAGGAAGATTGGGCAAGAGTGCTGTCCCACTTTGGCTAGAGATCATAAAACTGTTATCACAAGCTCTTGAGACCAATATACTTTGTCAATGGTCTAACCATCCTCCAGTGTCAGTGAACCAGTCTTAACTGCCACAAGTAGCCAATGCTTCATATCTCAGCTGTTGCTTCTACTACCGATCTTAGATATCTGTGACCCTTGAAACTTATCGTCAGAACTATTACCTGAATGCCTGCTTACTCACAATGTACATCAATGATTTAGATGAGGAAACTACAAGTCATATCTCCAAGTTTGCAGATGACAC